TTATTTTTTATTTATTTATTCAATCTTGTATCTATAAATCTCCCATGAATATTGTTTTTCTTTCTCTCAACAAGAAGGGTATCATACATAACGAAGCGATGAACTGTTTGCTATCAGGTTGAACCTGCTATCCTTGAGGAACGTTGTCAAGATAGTAGGGAACGTTTGACCAGACATGTCAATTACTAACTTTTCTTTTCATTTTCATTCTTTGTAAAATAGTATAAGGCATTAATTAGAGTTGCATCCTCATGAGAACGATTATCTGGGCATTAATACTCCCATTTATTACTTGATGCGTGCACTTGCGTACTTGAGTCGAAATTAAGAGAGCAAATGTGTTTTCTCTTAATGAACTGAGGAACGTTCTACAACATATATATTTTTCCCCCAACACCTTTTGACCAAACAATGCCTATGGAAGTAAGGGCATAGTCTCCTTTCCTTGGTGAGTAAGGCAAAATCAATATTCTCCAATTTATGGTATCTCAGATCTGGTCCTTGGCCTCTAGAAAGGATAAACCCTTTCACGAAACCAGGCATGTTGGAGCTGGATAAACAAAGTGCCATGGAAGCTCAACTAGTTGCCTTGATGAATGAAGTGAAGAGTTTAAAAGTTGACAGAAATCAGCCCAACGCCAATGTTTTACAACTCAGCCCCAGAAAGTGAACCATGCTCAGCATGTGGTGACCAACATGACTCAACAGATTGTCCTTCGACAGCTCTAGTGTTTTATGCAGAAAATTTTGGTGGCAAGAACTTCAATCAAGCCAGAGACAACCAATATGCAAGTCGCAACAACAACCCAAATTTTGGAGGCACTATACAGAAAGATCAGAACCATAATCCTCAGTGAAGACCACCCATCTATCCTAAACCATCAACAACCTACAACAACAATATCAACAAAGCAACAATGGGTAAATGGAGCATTTAATCAAAAAAGATCAAACAATGCTCCATTCCCCAGAGATGAACAACGAATCAGTGCATTGGAAAATTATGTGAAAGAATATGTCACTAGAAATGATGCAGCTGTTATAAATATTGAGTCCCACCTGGGGAAAATAGCTGCCAGCCTTAACACCAGAGTGTAACATACCAGGCGTTGACGAGGGCGGGGAGTGATCGCTGGTCCGAAAGGGCATGGACAAGGAGCAGCTCCTAACAGGCTTCCAGCGGGGGGTTACATGAGCGAATGAATCAAATTGACACCCGAAAGAGAGGAATTCCAAAGACTGTGCAAGTATGAGACTGCACAGTTTGGGATAGCTTATAAGAATTAATTAGTACTACTTACACTAACAAGATTTATCTACTTTTCGGTAGCCCGAAACGGAAGAACTTCATAGTTAAGCGTGCTTGACTTGGAGCAATTCTGGGATGGGTGACCTCCTGGGAAGTTTTTTCAGGAAGTGTGCGAGTGAGAAAAAAACACACTGAAAAATCTCGTGTTAGTATGTGGGAATAGTCATTGATTCTTGAAGCGGCCGGGCGTTACAAGTGTTATCAGAGCAGGGCCTCTCTCCCAGTACGGTGTGGTTCGAGGATGAACCAGGCGGAAGCTGGTGGGCATGTAACATCCCAGGCGCTGACGAGGGTGGGGAGTGATTGTCGGTGCGAAAGGGCATGGACAAGGAGCGACTCGTGACAGGCTTCCAGCGGGGGGTTACATGAGCGAATGAATCGAATCGACACCCGAAAGAGAGGAATTCCAAAGACTGTGCAGGTATGAGACTGCACAATTTGGGATAGCTTATAAGAATTAATTGATACTACCTATACTAACAAGATGCATCTGCTTTTAGGTAGCCCGAAATAAAAGAACTCCATAGTTAAGTGTTCTTGACTTGGAGCAATTATGGGATGGGTTACCTCTTGGGAAGTTTTTCCAGGAAGTGTGTGAGTGAAAAAAAAGTACACTGAAAAGTCTCGTGTTAGTATGTGGGGATAATCGTTGATTCTTGAGGCGCCCGGGCGTTACACAGAGTACCAGGCAAACTACCAGGGACACTGAAGTCCCTTCAACATCCTCCCCAAAGAATATCAAAACAATTACCTTAAGAAGTGGGAGAGTTGCTACACAAGCCTCAAACACTTCCAAGATAACAACCAGAAGCACTGAGAAGGTGGCTGATAAACCAATTGAAGCATCTTCAGGTATCTCACACCCTGAACAACATCAAAAGCAGGCAGCTAGCCCAAGCATAGAAAATCAAGGACTTGAAGAACGAACCATGGCTGATGAACAAGCTCAAGCTGTAATAAGTCAAGCAGCTAATTGGTAAAATTTAGTACATTAAGGGCGACCTCTTTGAAGTGGTCCAAATATTTGCACAGCGTCACTCCTTCTTTTTTCCAGATTTCCCAATGCATACATCGGCATGGGGTGGGCCTTACTTGTCGCGAAGTTCAAACAGAAGGTTCGCAAAGGTCTTCAAACGAATCAATTGAATTCCTTGGCAACCTAGTATACCAGGTCATGGTCGATCCCGTTAGTGTGGATGCGAAGATTCAGGCCACAATGGGTCCGCTGATTCCTTTTATGAACATCTGGGTCTTGAAAGCCTCCAGATGAGCTTCTGGATCCTGACTGTCGTCATACATCGGCACATTCAACTTCTTGTGTCTCGGTAGGAATCTCGAGTTCATGACCCCATCAATGAACGGGCTGTCATTTTGTTGTTCCCCATTATGGTGCGATTGAGGATTCTCATTTTGTCCAGGCCCGTTTCCATCACCCCAGCCATTTCTTTGACCTCGGCTATTGTCGTTGACTCTACCTTGTCAATTGTCTACACCTCTATCATTATTACTTTCTTTGTTCTGGGACTCACGGCCATTCCCTCTCGGCATGGCTGTTCTAATTATTCACATTCTGGCCTAATAGCCTATTTTCCAAGGCCTCCATTCTATGAACGTCCACTCGTTGTTGGGCCAAGAACCGATTTCCATCTTTTCCATCCTTCGCAGGATAGAGTTGATGGCAGTTTGGTGAATATGGTTCGTGGCAAGTTATGCTTCTCGTTTAGGTGGACGTGGTTGATTCGCAATTAGGTTCCCCCGGTGTCTTGATGACACCAAATCTGATTCAGCATCACTGATGTGCACCTCTTCCAACACTGGCTACAGGCCTCCCTGTTCATCTATGAGGGACGGCAGAAAATTATTTGTGACATTGCACGTGTGTACCATTGTTGGGTGGAAATCGAAATTCACTAATTCTCCACAGATGGTGCTAATGTTTGGTCCGGGTGAACCGTGAATGATCACCTGATGGGTGATTGATCAATATCGAATTTGTACGCTCAGTATCTATGAGAGATACCGTAAGGGGCTATGGATCACTGTGCACTTTAATAGTACGATCTTAACCAATGGGTGGTGTGTGTACACAGTAACTACAAAAATAAAATGAGCTAAAAGTGTGTACCTGGTGGTGGTGACCCCGATTTATAATAAGTTACCAGTTGGGCTTCCACTTGGTTTGTTATGAGATTGTTATGAGGTCTTATTCTATTGTTAGGATTCTGACTTGAGTTCCTCTATTCATCATTGCTAATGAACATATCCATTTTTTGGATTGTTGGAATATGGATCCAGTAAAATGTCAACATAGAGGTCTTGGTATCAAAATGACCAATAATCAGAGGTCAACAAGCAGGTGTAAGGGTTGTGGTTTCTGCCATGCAAAACGATAGATAATGGTTTTGGTGTGTGCAACAAACAGGGCCTTATATGTATGTGAGAAAGTCAAAAGATACTGTATGCGCACAAATTGGAATATCTCTTTCTATGTGTCAAGTTGTGCCTCATATAAGCTGCTAGGGAGCATATCACGAAAGGTGTGAGGTAGAAATGAGACCCACAAGTGTACAAGAGGTGTTGTTAGGGCGGCGGCGGCGAGGGGGGGAAGGGATATTTGCCAAAAGGGTGATTATTTGGCACAATTGGTGAGATATTCAGTGAGTAATATTTTACCCTGTAATGGAGAGTGAACCTTGGGCCTAAAGGTCCAAACAAGAACAATATCAAATCACGAATAAATAAGTCCAGACTCTAGAGAACCGAGCGAAGTTAATGTGGTCCGGAAGCAAAAAAAATTGGGTGAGACTGAGGGGAGAGAAAGAGAAAAAAAGTTGAGAAGAGAGGAGAAAGGAGAGAGAAGAGAGAAAAATTTTTTTAATATAAGTGTCAATTTTTGAGTGGAAGAACCACGGTGGTCCTGGAGCATATTAAAAAATTCGCTAGAGAACCCTTTAGAATCATCATTGTCAACAACAGGCTAATTTCGAGGATGAACAAAGCATTATGCCATACTAACAGTAAGCAGCTACAAGCAATAAGGATTTGTTCAGAGTGGAGAAAGGAAAGAAGAAGTTCAAGAGGGCTTTGGTAGTTGTTGATCATGATATTTAAGGTTTGTCACAAGTTGATGACTACGATTTTCTGTCATTTCTGTTTGCAGACTGGTATGATTTCATTAGGTAAAAACAGTTTTCCTTTTTGCATTTCATACACTTCTGCTATTTAAAATGGGTTTTCGTTTTATCCTTTAACATAACACAACAAACTTTCCTACTCTCATAACATTTTGTGGGGTCCACACTTTTTAAAACAAAAAAATAAATAAAAAATTAAGGCACGCAAAACGAATCTCTATAACATTACACAATCACTTTTCCTACAACATAACTCTTATAAAACCCATTTAAAATACAGATAATTGGAGGACGAATCGATTCACAATTTCCTAGCACTATGAGGGGATCACATATACGTAAAACCATTGGGTTTCACTAGAACACAAAAAAAAAAAAAAAAAAAAAAAAACACCCTGAACTCTAGCAACGTCAAAACCAACGTTACAGATCAACAAGGGAGATAAATATCTTTCTTATCAAGAAACTTGCAGAATAATTGAGAACATCAGCTTTCATTAGATTGATACTTATCTCATTTAATAGAAAGGGCAAGCCATGATTCATATTTGGCTGGCACTGCATAGTTAGTTCTCCAAGGAAAAAAAAATGATCAAGTTCTTTTTACTCCACAGCAGGAAAGCTAAAATAATCAATTTCTTAAAACAAAAAAGATCTTAGCGGTTCACATGTACTGTAAGTAACCCCAGCAATATAAAAGAATTTATCAAATCTCTATAGATCAAACTAGGAAACTAGCTATAAGACCCCTTGATTGGTATCATCCATTCCCTCACCATGCTTTGATTCTTCATCATTTTGATGCTCAACATCATAAGTTGCATGGACACCAACAAATAAATAATATAAAAGCATTACAGCAGTGCAAATCAAGAACCTCCAGAAAGCCTGAGAACCTAAAGACCCCATGAGAAAAAGGTTGGTTCCAATAGACAATGAAGGCAGCCACGGAACCAGTGGAACACCCCAAACCTTTGGAGTCCTCAGCTTTGGAAGAAAACTCATTCCCAAAGTGGCCAAAAACCAAACAAAAGCAGCCACTGTATAGCCTACCCAACCCAGCTTGTCCGAGTTCCAAAGTGCAGCCCCAACAGCAGAAGAACCAATAATAACAAACAAGCACACAACAAGTCTAATCAAATCCTTCTTGGACGTGGTCTCTCTCACATAGTATCTCCTCACAAGCAATGCAACGGCCATAAGCATAAAAATGAAAAGAGTGCTAATAGAGAAAACACTAGACAGAACATCCAAACTAGAGAAAAGAGCAATAACAGAACTGAATATAGTTATCAACAGAGTGGCATTAACTGGGGTTCCTGTCTTGGGGTGAACTAGTGCAAAAAAAGGTGGAATCATATGTGACCTTGCAATCTGAGTCGTGTACCTAGCTTGCCCCATGGACCCCACAAGCAAGCTTGTGGTCATTCCCTTCAATGCACAAACACTCACAAGGTACTTAGCCCAAGTCATCCCAATCTGAGAAAAAGCAACAGAATAAGCAGCATCGACATCAATCTCAGTGTACTTCACCATCGTCACAAGTGCCAAAGCCATCAAGCAATAAATCACAGTGATCATGCTCATTGAACCAACCAAACCAATAGGTATATCCCTTGAAGGGTTCTTGGTCTCTTCAGACATTGTTGCCACCATGTCAAATCCAGTGTACGACCAATACACAACAGCAGCAGCACTGAAAACCCCCTTCGCCCCGTAAGGGAAAAACGGCACCAAGTTTGAGGTTTTTCCATGAACAAAACCAACCACAACGATGAACCCAATTACCAAAGTGGTAACAATAGAACTAAGCCAGGTTAATATGGAGGTATTTCTTGTTCCACTCATGGCAATGCCGTTTGTGATTACGAGAACAAAAACCGCCAAAGGATCCAGCATGTTGAATCCGGGTTTGAAGGAACTGACCCGGATCCGGAAGAAATCCGGGTCGTTTTTAACCATGCTGGCGAAGTAGGAAGACCAGGAGCGGCCGAGGCCGGCGGCGCCGACTAGGGCCTCGAGCAGGATGTTGCCGGCGGCTATGAAGGCCACGAAGTCGCCCAACTCAATTCTGAGATAGGAGAAGGAGCCGCCGGCGACGGGAACGTCGACGGCGAACTCGGTGTAGCAGAGGGCGGAGAGAAGAGCGGAGAACCCAGAAGCGGCGTAAGAGAGGACGATGGCCGGTCCAGCACCGAGGCGGGCCTCCTGGCCGGTGATGACGAAGATGCCGGAGCCGACGACGGAGCCGAAGGAGAGCCAAAGGAGGTCCCACCAGGTGAGGCAGCGATTCATACGGTTCTCGCTTGCTTGAGGGAGGACGAGGAGCTCATTGGAGTCGGTTGAGCGGTTGAGAAGGCGGTCCTTGAGGCGTGGACAGATGTTTATCAGGGCCGTCCGGTAGGATTTCGGGTTCTGGAAGGATGGCTCCGGGAAGAAATCTTGTTTGCTCCACCGCCAGTAGCTTCGGGCTGTGGCGGCGGAGGACGGTGGTGGAGGTGGTTCCATGGCCTTACTCAATGCCACGTAGGGAAAAGACAAGAATAGCTGACTTTTGAGAATTGAAGGACCACTGACAGCTGGGACTGATCAACTAACTGTATCACGAATAAATCTTCGGTAAGATCCGGTGCATCTCTACCAATAAAAATATTTCATATAAGTTAAAATTTCTTTTTTATGTCAAATTTTTCTTCTCTTCCGGTAATGCTTTTATTGATGTGATGCGCTGAATCTAAGTACAGTTATTATTGTTAAAATCTCGATTTAGCATTATGATTATACGTTTTTATGATTTTTTTTCATCAAAACGATTTTATTATTCTTCTAAACGATTTTACGATTTTTTTACATTACGATTTTGTATTTTATGATTTTTTAATCACCTTCTGATTTTGTATTATTCTTATTCATGTATCACACTACAAGAAAAAATGTTATCACCCATAAATTTATTATTAATACTTTTTTTAAAGTTTTATCTAGTAAATCTTTCATGAAACTAGAACAAAAGTAAAGAAAAAAAAATCGTAATGCATTGAGACTTGTTGCACGTCTTGATAAATTGTAATGTATTTGAACTTGAAACGGGCGCTAGTACAATTCATCTTCATTCTCCCCATGCTTACTAGTTACTACGTATATTCCGTATTTGGTAGATGATACTTTTAAGGATTTTCATAAAATTAAGGATGTTAATTTTATTTATTCATATTTGGTACCAGATTTTTAATTTTTTTTCAAAAATTTGATTTTTTTAGGATCTTATTTTGTGTATAAAATTTTCTGAAAAAAACATCCAAGAAGCAAGAAAATTTAACCCAACATTTCTCATAATATTTTCTCTTACCAAATAAATTTTTGGTAATATTTTCGAAAAACTTATTTTTCCACTATATTTCTATAAATCATGAGAGTAAAACAAAATTTCTCCTCTCCCAAACGTCCCCTTAGCTGATTAGGATTCAAATACTTTTCTTCACCAAGTTTCATTTGATTTTTTTTCTTTCCGTAGAAAATACTTTGCATATCTATGTTATTACCAAATATTTAATTATGTTCTTAAAATTTTAAAATTTTAAATAATCTTATATAATTGCGCCTGAATAATTATGCTATGTGCCCCAAAAATTAATATAATCTTATTTATTTCCCAATTTGAATTTATTTGATTCTTAATTTGTTACAATCTTGTTTCTCTCTCTCTAGCTGATTTCTTTCCTTAATTAGTGTGTAGCTAATTTATAGAGATTGTACCCTTCATCTAAACTCTAAAACTTTTAATCTTTGTATATTCAATATTGTACTAAATTTGTAGAAGTTAATATTATTTTAACTTGGTTTAATATTATTAGCGTGTCCCTGCTGAATGCATTTTTGGGGAGGGGGCTGAACCTTTACCCATCACTGCTCTCCCGCACTCCGGATTAGTCTCATAGCCGGCTCAAAGAGTCGAAGGTCGTGGGGATACCGGAGAGAGCCAACTCGCCTCAAAGAGGTAATTAGGGTTGGGTAACTCCAAAATATTATTAGTGTGTCTTCACACAAGTGACAATTATTATAATTACGTATTTAAGTTATTATTTAGAAATCCAAATACAAAAGTATTATGAATTTTAAACTTACAATTTAAGAACATAAGTCCTCATAGAGTATAACAAGATCTTGTTAGAATTGAAGTCCTTACAAAAGATATCAAGATCTCTGAGTAACAAAGTACTCACAGAGTATAACTAGATCTTCGAGCATCATAATACACAATGAAGTGTAACAAGATCTCTTAGCGACAAGTACTCATGGAGCAACTAGAGACTACCGAGGACCGGACAATAATGGAAAATAACAATTATATGTTCATTGGCCAAGAACTGGTAATCAAACAAGTCAGATATCTCATATACTTATCATATCCATGAATCAAGACATCACGAATACATATCATACAAAATCATATCATCAGAAATACATATTATACGTAGTCATATTGTCAGAAATACATATCATATAGTCATATATCATTACCTACATGAATGCCACTATAATAAGTATATAGTAGAACCATAATACAAATATGCAGATATACAAACCATGATCCCACTAGACCCTGTTGTTACTTGTACTTTAAGCAATTAATCCAAAGCTTCTCGAAATCTGATCTTCAAGCACTAGGTCACTTGCCTACAACCTAGTTTACCAACCAAATATAATCAACACCAACCAAGGTTTATGTCCAAGTGTTCAGCACCAAGTTCAACACTTGACATATTCATCAAATTTACAGAAATCAGAATTAGGTTGGTTCCATCAAATGCTTTCAGACTAAATACTTTCTTATCAAGTTAGACAAGTCAATTCGTGCCAAATCACAAGTTATACTAAATTAACCACAAGTCAAAGAATGGACCCAATAAGCTAGTTAGCTTTGAACACTAACACAAGTATGTATTTTTCACTTGTCATAATCCAAAGTCATAATCCAAAGTCCAACCTAATTTTAACCCATTTAATCACTTAATGGCCGAAACATACATCTCCAAAAGACTCATCAAAGAAGCTTCATACAAGGTAAGGTTGAATCACTATAACATACTTGAAATAGGCCACCAAAAAGCTTCCAATGATATTTAACAAGCTTCTAAGTCATTCATTCTCAATATGGTCGAATTTTACATGTTCAAAGCATTTTTTCAAGAATTTCTCAAATTTCATACAACTAATTCATGCTTCATTCAAACCTATCATATACAAGGAACATTAGGCACCATCTAAATCATCAAACAAGGTTTCCAATCACCCTTTTTATGTGATGGCCGAAATACCTATAATGAACAACTATGGATTTCTTTAAAACTTCAACTAGTTATTAATAGTGGCGGACCCAAGAAATTTTATTTATGAGTGCATAATTAGGGATGACCTCCCAAAAAATATTTGAATTTTTTTAAATGTATTAAAAAAATAAGGGATAGGATATTGTGACAACCAAGTAAAGTTACAACCAATGTTACTACCAATTAATCTCACCGTTAGATTGGTAGTAACGATCTGACGGTCATGATTTGTTCCTTATATAGCCTCTCTCTCCTCCCTTCTCTATCCCCCTTCTCTCTTACTATACTCTCTAACGCAGCAGCCGCCGCCGCCCATAGCCTCCGTCGCGCCGTCGCACTCTACAGCCTCTCTGCCTCCGCCACCATTGCCCATAGCCGCCGGTCGCCGCCGCTTGTAACCCTAATAACATAAGGCGATGCAGTTTTGATGCGGATAGACCTTCCCATTTTTTGTGTTCTGATTGCTCTTTTAATTTATTACAATATTCCATGTTCCAAAACTATAGTAGCTTTTTCACAGGAGAAGGGTTGTTCGTATTATAAAAAGTGCATTCTTTGTATTCAACGAGATACTCATCACAAGGGGATAGGTAACAAAAAATCAATCGCAACTCAGAGAAGGGAAGAGAGAGGGGTTATGGAAATCAATTAAATCAGAACCGTAGACTGCAGCAATAGAGTGCAGCGGTGCGACGGAGGCTATGGGCGGCAGCGGCGGCTACTGCGTTAGAGAGTATAGTCAGAGAGAAGAAGGAAAGAGAAGGGAGGAGAGAGGCTATATAAGGAACAAATCATGACTGTCGGATCGTTACTACCAATCTAACGGTGAGATTGATTGGTAGTAACATTGGTTGTAACTTTATTTGGTTGTCACAATATCCTATCCCAAAAAATAAAAGGAAATAAACAAGAAAAGAAAAGAAAACTTCAACTTAACATAAAAAAATATTAATCAAGAGTCAATTAAGTTGTTAAATTATTTGAGTATAAAGTTAAAATTGAGAGCGCATAATGTGTATTGATCATCGTCATTGGAGATATTTTTAGAGTAAAGTATTTTTTGAATACTCAACAAATATTACGGGGCCTAATTTAATCTCTTAGGGAAAAAAAGTCGACTCATAGTCCCTATAAAATTCATGTCAGTCCTTTTGAGGGTCTAAAATGGATCTTCTTTGAATTTCAGAGAGTCTACAATTTCGACTGACTCTGTTTATTTTGGAATTCAAAGAGACCACATATCGAATTTTTTTTAAGGGACTAAATTGAGTCCCATGATTTTTGTTGAGGACCCAAAAGTACTTTACTTTTTTTTTTTTCTAAAAATTTGTGTCTGCATTTGCACACGGTTGCACAAGTGCAGGTCCGCCCCTAGTTATTAACCATAATGAAACACCTCGTTCCCGACCAGTCATGTTATCATTGTTTATGATATTAAATATAGTTACAATCACATCAGTTCATTTAAAAATACGATAAAACTTTTTCTTTTTAAATACTATTTACAAAATCCTTACGTTTATAAAACGTCCGTATTCAACATTTTCCAAAAATGTGATCATAACTCAAAACTATTGCGGAATCATAAATACTATTGCTTAACATCCTACAACGTCTATTTTAAGTTGCTAAGTGGTTCCCATAAACCAACAAAGCACAATTACACATTTTGACATTTTACCTACTTGAGGTACATTTAGTTTTCTCAAAACTGCAAGTGGACTACAAGTTCATAAATTCTCATCTTTTGATATGTTGTTATACACTCTTTTACCTTTCCAACAAGGTGTCACATGCTCCAATTGGAGTTCTGTAGCTCAAGACACACTTGTCGTAAGTTAATTTCTTAAAACAGTAAAAACTGCATAATCGATTTTCTAACATCCTTCACCGCTTTTAAAATTTCAGTCGTATCACTTATTTTTCCCATCAAATTTCAATATTTTTTAATAAACACATCAAGCTTTAATTTGATATAGCATAAGCCTAATTTGGGTGAGAAATGAGAGAGATATGAATTTTGTAAAAACGAACACAAATGTTATAAAATACAGCGTGAACAAGTACAATTCACATTCAAATGAAGAATGGGCAGTTTTTACAATTCCAAATAACACCAAATTTTATGAACATGTAGGGGACATCCTAAGATTCAAAATAAGA